GAGTCTGGAGACAATCTCATCCTAAAAGGCTTCTTTAAGCTAGCCAGGCCAATATGTCATTTAGAATAATGAAATTGTCACATGTTTGCAAGAGGGCTTTGACTGTCCTTTCCTTTCACACATGGTGGGAAATGAAAAAAAGTGCTGGAGAAGATAAAATGCTCTCCAGCCCCCTTGTACGGCTGTTTGGAAGCAGGAGGACCAAAGTTTCTCCTGCAGTTGTGTACAGTTCTTAGAAGGATTGTGGAAATTCAGTGGCTACTGCCACTCGTATTTCTCTTGCTCTGTCAAGTAAAATGTGTCTCATCCAGTCACTAATGCACAACAATCCACCTCCTAATAGAAAATGCCCCTGGAATTCTTGCCATTTTTCCCAAGATCAGAGCAAATGCACAACTTTTCCATAAATCTGAGGCGGGGGTGCAACATCAGACATTGGAGGAACAGCCACTATAAGCTCTGCCAGACACAAAGAGCTTCTGATTATTGATCAGGGGGCAGTTCATTAGTGTTTAAGTCTTATCATTAGTTACTGCACAAAACAGGTGAACAGAGAGACAAATTACTCACTGAGCTGTAAAAAACCCAATGGGAAAAAAACACATGGCAAGGCAGAGTGAATTACTGGAGCCTTTTACAGCAGAGGTGGCAACACTCCTGATGTTCCCACGCCCAAGTATGAACCTCAGAGATGTGTTCTCATGTTGATACATAAAAGCACATGCACCTTTCTAGGCGTTTATTTTTACATGGCAATTCTGAACATTGGCTGTAAAAGGAATAACATACACTTGACTCATTCAGCAAGCACAGCAGATCTTGTGCACTGATCGCATCAGGAGTTTTTCGTGCAAAACCAGTGTGTAATTGTGCAATTAAAATCTCTAGCAATGCAGAAACAAAAGTGGATGGTGCAGTCTGCCTCCAATCCAGCTGCAGCTAACACTAAAACTCTTACCTGCAAGATAAAAACACGTTGTGGGGTTATGAACTACAATAGAAGGCTGAAAATCTATGACTGAAATACTCACTAATCATGTACTAATATGGTTTCGTGAATGATGACATCACAGAGATAGGACAGAAACCTAAAGGATGGATCCTCTGCCACCTCTCTGGTATTCCTGCTTGCTTTATCTGTACTTCTATGTCACCATTTTTTTCTCTTACTGAAAAATAAATGAAACCCCTCTGGAAAACGGCTTTGTCTTTGGGAAGGCTTAGCAGCCAAAATAACACTATATTGAATTAATATACATAATTACTTTGGCTATTCTATCTGCTTGACTTTTCTCACAGCAGTTCAGAACAAACAAGGGTGTTTAAAAGTACTTCCCAACCAGCTGCTTTTCCATTTTACAATAAGTGCTCCTGAGGAACTAAAGTCTTCTCTTTCACATTCACAGCAACTACAGCTAATTTCTACACAAGATTTGTTCTAGGTCTGTGAATATGAGCTGGGTTTTGCTGGGATGAAACAAGAGTGCATCTTCCTGCTACAGAAAAATATAAAAATCAGGGTATCCTGATTGGAAAAGACCCAACAGGGCTACACTAAAAGGGAATGCATTAGGAAGAGCATTCCCAGCAGGTCAGGGAGAGGATCCTCCAGGAAGGTTGGACCAGATGACCCACCGTGGTTCCTTCCAACCTTCTAAGTTATTATACTTCTTTTCCTTATCATCTATACTGATAATTTGTGGTCCAAGATACCAGTGCAGCAAATACTAATTCCTAAGTAGCTGCTTTAGTGCATTGCAAACTTGCATTTCAAAATGACTGCTCAATGACAAGACGTGCATAATTAACATTTAAGACTGTTAAATTTTTGTGAGTGAGTAGAGGCTCGATCTGGCACTTGAAATCTTGCCTTTGAAGCTCAGGAGAGTCAGAGAACTGGTGTCTGGGACAAAACAGTGTCCCATTTCTTCTGTGCAATTAAAAACAACCACTGAGTTTTAGATAATAACAGAGGACAAAATACCCAAGTGCTATTAAAAATATTTAACCACACACAAACGGTACATATTTAAAAGACCTTAGAGACTGACATGTTATGCAAACCAGTAGAGATCTCATGGTTTAATTTGCAACTAAAACACGAACATTTTAGTACATTAGTACAATCTAATGTGTATATAGGTTATAAATATATATGTGTGTGTGTTTGTGTTGTAGGTTATACATAAAAATGCAGCTGGCTACAGGCAAAAGACAATAAGTTAGTGCTGGCTGGCCCTCACTCAGACCCTACTCCAGTGTTCTCAAAGTCCTTTGCAACTATTGATTAACCTGTTTTATGCATCTCAAGCTTCTAATTATTTATAAAAAGGATGAAGTAACGCTGATTAATTATAAAAAGGATGAAGGTCAGCACTGTAACCAGAAATGGAAAGGCAGGATTTGGGGCCCCACTCTTTTAGGTTCCAGATAGCTCACCTTCTAAATGTCATGTGTGGACAGCACACCTAAACTGTAATCTGGAGTTCTTCAATTAAACAAAACCACTCAAAAAGCTAGATGTGTATTTTTTCAGAGGCAGGAAAATTACTGTAGGATACTAGACAGGCAACTGCTTGAAATTTAGCTTTGAGTTCTGAGATCTTAAAGAACTCTAAATTTTGAAGTCTTCACTACGCCCATAAGCACTTTCTAAAGGACTGGCTTTATGATGCGAGGGCAAAAAAAGAATCACCACAGAAAGTTCAGCAAATTTCTGTGGTTTTTTAGAGCTTACATTACCAGGGTGTAGAAAGAAACTGATTTCCCAGAGAGGCTGTGACAAAGCTCTCTTTTTAGGGTGAATGAAGCCCAGGGACAGAAAGAGCTGCTGAAGAACAGTAGTGATCAGCAGGCACAGACGTGTACTACAGCCTGAAATCTAGCAGACAGCTAGTTTAACCCACACAAAAGAGCTGCTTCTCTTCCCAAGTTTTCTGGCTGGTGGGTTGGCTGATGGGACTTTGCTACTTCTGCATCTGCTGCTCTGATGGATTAATGACAAGCCACTTATTACTGCCATTATTGTCAGTGTTGATGTTTCCACTGGACATGTCACCAGCTGGCATGGCAACTTCATTCAGCACTGCCTTACAGCAAGCAAAAAAATCTCCCAGTTTGGCTGGAAGACTTTCATCAAGACTTTCTCCCATATGGAGTAAGCAAATATCTTCAAAAGACCTTGCAACACTCATCTTCCAGGACCATAAGGGGGTGGGAGATGAGTTAGCAACGCTGTGAAACATGTAGTGTGGAAGTTGAGATATAACCTGAAGTTGCATAAAAGATGGAAAGGAAAGCAATATTTTTTTTTTTTCCTTGAAGAACAGGTCATGCCAGATAGCTCAGACAACTTGTGCAGCGTGACAGAATTTGTGCACAAAGGGAACGTGGCAGATCTGATTTTGCAGAAACAGTATTTATGGGTTAGTGGGTGGACAAAAGTTTCCTCAACAGATTTTTGCAGATCTAATCATACACAGAAAGTTCAAATGGCTCCCTTTAGCCTCTACTTAGTGCTGCTTTATAGATAGTGTTTTGCTTTAATTTAATTTCTCTAGACTTTTAATAAGACTTTTGGTACTTTAGTGCCTGGGAAATTATTCCTGACACTGGAAATATGGTGCCTTGGTTATGAACACTGCAATGAAGATATGAAGTTGCCAGACATATTGTAAACAGAGCATAATTACACTACTTAGAGTTGAACATCAAAATGGGAAGAGATGCCAAGTGGCATTTCTCAAAAGTTAATATTGGGACTGATACCATCTAATATCTTCCCAAATAATTTGGAAAATGAAGTAAAGTGCACGCTGACTGCATACACGGGAGATGCAAGAGGAAGATGAACTACAGCACAGCAGGTGGGGAGGTTGAAAAGAAGAACCAGAAGGATCTGGAGATCTGAGAGGGAGAGAGAGAAGGGTGCACTTAAGAGGGAAACTATTTCATGTAGAATAATAAGCTTAGAGAAAATTAACACCCATCTCGAGCAACCAAATGGGAAAACGCCAATTTTCATTAAAAAAAAAAATATATATCCAAGAGATTTCACAGTTTATTCACACTGAAACTTCACATTGGGGTACATGCATCAGGTTTGACAACTTGTTTGCTACATTTCAGCCTGATGTGATTTTAAAAGGAAGAATAACAGATTCCCTTCACAACCTGCCTTTTAAAATGCAGTTTGACTTATTTTAAACGTATACCAAATGCTCAAAAAAGACCCAATTTACAGTCCTGTTAGCAGAAATAACACAGAGTAATGTATCATCAGGAAGAGACACAGAAGCAGCACATACAAGGTCCAAGGTGGAAGTCAGGAAGCCAAAATCCAAGTGTCTGATACTGTCAAGGACTTCTAAGTGTCCACTGTGCAGTAGAGCAAAACTCATGAAATACACTGATTTTTTGACTTTAGAAACTCAGCTATACCTTGGAGAAACCTATTACTCTATAAAGGAAAGATTCTGAGGGATTTTTTTTAAAAAAAGGCCTTCACAAATGCTGAAATAAGTTAAATGACTACCGTATACACTAATGAACCTTAAATATTGTCTGTAAATTAACCATAAATATTACCTGTAAATTATCTATCACCTGCAAATTATCTATTCAACATTATCTGTAGGATAGAAATTGCTAAAAGGATGTACCCTTGCAATAAAAATTAACCTGTAATTAGATAAACTCACCAAGGATAGAAAACATACTTGCTGACACAAAAGCCCCCTACATGGACTATGCTCCTGGCTGAGAGTTTGAAGAGCACACTTGTCTTTTCCCCATCATTATTTGGTTAACCATACCCCCAGAAAAGTACATTATTTTGTCACAGGAATGATTCATTAGGAGAAAATTACACAAACTTTATCAAACTGAGTGTTACTTTTCTTCCTAACACAGCAATCCAAACAGAGCTGATGCACACAAAACGGCCTGATGTGACAGCAATCAACAACAGTATTTTTAGGTATGCTTAAAAACCTGCTTACCAAGGGGAGCCATATATTCTGAATCCCCTCACCGTCACTTCAGAGTCTTGAAGATAGATGCAGTTTGTTAGGAGAGACTGTACATTTTCATAGCTCTCTGGCTTCAGCTTAGAAACAGAGGGGAAATAGTAAAAGTCCTGCTTGATTAAGTCAGCCATGAATTCCTGGTCAAAGGTCAATTCATGATTTCCTGCTATCACAATCTTGTATTCATAGGGCAGGCTACCTAAAACAGCGAAAAACAAACAAGTTACTTGTTTTATGGAAGATCTGATGGAAGAAAACAGACAGACAAACTGTTATTGATTCCTGTAATATTCTCACATACTTGAAACGATAGAGCACGTCCCTCCTCCACGTTATTGTAATTCCTGGTGATTCCAGGTAAATGACATTACTGCCTCTTCCATGGCACACTGTGATTTAGCACGCTTAGCATTAATGTGTTGAAATTACTTTCAACTCATCAACCTTAAAAACCAGTCTGCAGACTTCTGCTCTACTATTTACTTCTAGTTAATTGCCATTTGTGCTGCAAGTATCATTTACTGTGACAGTGATGATAACTCTTCGACAGAAATTAGGGTTCAAAGAAGATCAGCTTCGGAAAATCGTGTCAGCTCCCTTCTCCCAGAGCTCAGGTCTTTGTCAGCTCGTGCTGAAGAGCTCTAACACCCTCACAGCTCGGGTCAGCCAGAGGGGTCTGCTGCCCTCTTTGCCCTGACATTAATATCAAGCCTTCAAGGAAGCCAGGGATTTGGTTCAGCTGTCAAAAACCCACATCCCACAGAGAAATCTCACAGTCTGCCTCTATCCCGTGTTTTTCCCCGCTCCATTTTCTCAGTGACTTCCTCGGATCCGTGGACTATAATTTAAAGTGACTCATGTTCGAGAATATTTTACAACCCGTATTTAGTGAAAAACCTTAGCACAACCTCCTGAGGAAGGCAGGGATACATATGCCCACACACGTGGGTTCTTCCTGAGAGCAGCACCGAAACAGAAACTTTCCACCCGACTCTGCCTTTGGTTATTCCCTGGATTCTGCCCCTGGGAGTCGGCATCAGCTGCCTCAAAAAGCTCAACAGAAACCTTTAAGTACATCTGAGAGGAAACAAAGACAGAAACTGTGTAAAGCTGCATTCACCAGCTTTGTTTGTGCACTGTGAACTTGAGGACAGTCAGAAGAGGAGACTGGCACCAGAAAAGAAGTATTTTATTGAAAATCAAACCCACCTTGCACAGCAGCAATCTCGTGGGTTTTTTTTAATTCTAAAAGTGTCTTGCTGATAACATAGAAATCTTTAGCAGTGGCAAAAGTTGATATGACAGGACTTCAGAATAAAATGCAACAGTGTGATTCAGAGTCAAGGGAACAGAAGACACGGTGTTGAACTTTGCCAGATGAAAAGATGAGGGTAATTCTTAAGTACAAGTTTCAGACACTTGTAACACCTGTATTAGGAAAACTGAGTGTACAGATTCCAGTCTTTCCTGTGAACCCAAGACATATGTGTCTTCAGAATACTCAACAGAAACTCTTTTCATGTATTTATTTAAATGTTGAAGATTCAATCATTTACCTGAAAGACTTTTCCTTTTTGCTTCTCAAACAGCCTTTTGCAGATGTGTCCTCCACCCCCACAAGTTTCCCAGGTGTGTGCACACGTACACACACAAGTGAAAAATGCTGTTTACATGCTGCCATATGCATGGGCATCTACAGGCCTAAAAGAATTCTTGGGAAACAGGAAAAGAAAGAAACCCACAATATTGCTAACAATTCCATTTCTGTTCTGTTTTGTAAGTCTTTTCCAGCTCATCTGATCCATCCATCTAGCAGCCAAGAACCTGTGTGAGCTGGTTATAGTTGTTGCTTCCACTAATGTATTTATGTCATGTTGCTGTCTGTGGGTGTTACTTAGGCAAATTAGCAAATTACTCTAAATGTACAGTTACATTTATTATAGTGGCGGCCAGAAGTGCTGCTGTAGTTACAGGTCTGTCAGCTTTTCAATTAACAACTGTGTTTTCTGATGAGTTTGCAGCTCAGTTAGCTGGTTTTTTTTTTCTTTCATTCCACACCAGGCCGTGGTAAAACTAATTCCCTCTCTTTGTCTCCTCAACTCTTCCTCTTCACCCTTTAAATATTATTTAAATAAAAAAATTATTTAAAAAAAAGATATTTTGTTCGAACCTTTTTCCTTAGAAGACTTTAGAACATGCTTTGCTTTTTACTCCGAGTGCTGTTGAAGCACAAAGTCAGCCTTAGTATAAATCTTTGAAACCTTGTTCTTGGCTGGGCACTGCTCTCATGAACTATTAAGTGTAAAAGTAGCTGCAGATGAAGACCCTCAGTTATCATATTTCCCACCTTCCCTGCTTCCTGTGTGATCCACACTCACCAATGTGCACTCCAGAGTGCTGAACATCTCTTTGCAGCAAAGCACAGTCCCCAGGGGGACCAACACCACAATCTAATCTGGTAGGTCAGCACAGCCCTGAGAAATGAATGTTCCAAGTGCCTTTCACAGGAGTAAGAGCCACCAAACATCAGCACTATCTGATCAACACCTACCTTAAAACTACCTTAAGGCAGCAACTCCTTCCTGCTTCTGACCTGCAACTTCTTACTTTTCCTTTTCAAGCATTATTAATTTCTCTGTATTTTCTCATTCCATTATGCCCTTCCAACACAAATCCCTACTTTTCCATCCCCAGGCACAGACTACTGCACAATTTGTAGCCCTGGCTTGGTCCTTGGTTACAACCAAGACATGCCCAAGAGCACATGGCCTAATAGCTGCTGTATGGCAGTGTTTGTACACGAGTTCATAATTTAGAACAATCACTTCTCCATTTTTTTTAGGCCAGTCTTGATCTCAGATTATTCAAACACTTCCAGGTTGATCAGTTTATTCCCACACCTGTGCTTAGGATGGAGTAGCTCCATCCAAGAAGACTCTGCAGTGTGTTTTTGTGGTTTTTGACCCCCTCTGGAGTGTGGGAGTCTTTCAGGGAAAAAAAACCTGCTGCAAACCGAGGCAAGTCCAGCAGAGAAGTGTCAGGATGGCTGGGGAATGTGGGATATGGGGAGAGGCCAAGATCTGAGTCTGCTCAGCCCGGAGAAGGTGGAGGGCAGACCCTGCTCTGTCTGCAACTGCCCGGGCTCAGGAGAAAGAGAAGGCCAAGCTCCTCTCAGAGGTGCAAAAATGGTGACAAACACAAGTGGGAACATGGTACAAGGAAAGAATGAGGATGGTGAAAGAGCAGAAGAAGTGCCCAGAGCAGCTGGGAGGTGTCCACCCTTGAAGACACTCAAAACTGAACGGGACAAGGTTCTGAGCAGCCTCCTCTCTAACTGGCCCTGCTTTGAAGCGGAGGCTGGACTCAGTTCCCCTCCATCCTGAGTGGTTCTAGATTATTTTTAATCTACACTGGAAAACAAACAAGAATTTTAAAGAGCCTGCAATGGTAAAAGAAATTAAAAACTCATTTTGTGTTGTGATTCTAATGGAACAAATCTGTGGCACTTTCCCAGGACTGGAGAGCACATTCCATTAAGTTTGGTGCAAGTTCCTCACTCTCATTTAGCAGATGAGTAGGACCAAACACCCAACTGATAGCCAATTAACATTTGATGCCAACATATGGCTTTGCTGGTGGGCAGGTAGCAAAACTTGCTAATACAGAAGCTCTGTGTAGACAATGACATTACAGAAAATTTATGGCTGTCACAGGAATTCTGCACACATATCCAGGACAAAATTAATTCCCCAGAAAAATTAAGGCAGTGAGCACGTAAGGAACAGATCTGCCCTTCAGGAGTGCCAAGAAACACTTGCAAGAACATATGCTATGGGAGTCAAAGATGTGATTTCAAACAAAAAAAAAAAAAAAAAAAAAAAAAGGAAAAATTATTAATTTGGGAGGATGTTGCATTTTTTTTTCCTGATCTCTTCTTTTGACCAGCCAAAACAAGATTAAGTGGTTTTGCCCAAAGACCAGGGATCCTCCTGTTCTTGGCGCCTGAGAAGATTCTGCTAAAATATGCCTGTAGTCTGGACACAAACTACAACTAGAATTGGTTGGAAAAGTTTTACCTATACATTTTTCCGTGTTAAAATTATTAAAATACCACTTGGATGGAATGGGATATATTTGGAAATTCATGTAGTGATTCTGACATTACCAAGGAAACAAAATGAAGCAAAATGTCAGTTTAAAATATTTTTGGGTGAATAAAAATTTCATTGCTAAGCAAAATTTCACTTTTTATTCTAGAGTAAGGGTTTGGTTGTTTGGTTTTGTTTTTTTTTCCTCTCATAATGTTTAACTAGAAAGAAACTAAACTTATTTTCCTCCATAATCAACCTCCAGCCACTCCATCCTATTTGGAATTTGGAATCAAAAGAAATGTTTATAAATTAAAATCCTGTCAGGAACACACTGGTTCAAATTCAGTGGTGGGTTTCAGAGGTTCCTTTTTCAGACCACATCCAACTTTTACCTTCTGCCAATTTGGGATGGGGTTCCAAGACACCATCATTCTTTCAGCCTCTATCTCAACATGGGATCAGGGATTTTCCCCATCCTTTTCCTTCTCTGCTACATGGTCCTCTATCTTTCCTGCCTCATTTTCCCCTCTCCTTCCCATTTTGTAATCTCCCTTTTTATGCAATAAAACACTGGACACACATCTTCCCCTTAATTTAGCAGTTTTAGCAAAAGATACCTTTTTCTTATGGGAAAAAAAACACAACAACTTGTAGAAGTACAATACTTTAGAAGACAATTCATCACACAAAAAATTCCTCCCTGAATTTCCTGCATCGATAGAATTCCTTATTATTTGAGGTTATTTTACTATCAAAAAGCCTGGGATATCATATTTAGCTCATAATTACCTTATATATAGCCAGATGGTATTATCATCTTACAAGCTTAACCACAAGCCCTCCTCAGAAAGTTTCTTAGCCTTCATTTGCTCAGTCTAAGAATCTGATAGGAGTGCTGGTAATATAACATGTATAAGAATATATATCTCTCTATATATTGTTTAGCTAGTAACATCTTTGTTTATTCCTTTCATTACCGTAGATTGCTAATTAAGAAAATCAACTGAACATCTAATTTTTGGGTGTTTATGCACCAATTACAAAATGATTGCAGCCATTTTTAACTCCTAAACTACAGTAGGTCCTTTTTATGGCGAACATAATTTTT